GCATAAATTTGAATAACAGTCATATTAACAGGTCATCCTTGTAGGCGTATGGATATTATCCTATCGCTGACAGCATTGTATTTCAAGACAGATCTTGAAACATCCTTTGTGATGATGAATACCACACCATTCCTCTTTAAACTGTCGTTCCCGGCATAGTAGATCACATGGTTGTCTGATTCAAAATGACCAAAACCAGTCCATTTCAGCTCACTAATGCCTAAGATATCAATCTTTATGCTTTTCATTACATTTTTGACAACTTCCAATTTTCCTAGATTCATACTTCGTATATTCCATGTTCCGATTATTAATGGATGTTTGCTCCTGTTTCTCCTCTATTTGAGTGGTGCCACATCAGCAAATGGAGGTCTCAAAAGCTTTACTTTATCCATATGAGTAAGGTTGATTTTACTCTGATAATGCAGTTGTTTCCCAGGCCTGCTTCAAGAGCTTTCTAAGCTACGTGACTCATCCTCCTCCTCTGTATTAGACAATGTTTCTGGACTATTCATAAATTTGCGCAGTAATGTATCAGACAGTGTTTCTCTGCTATTCATAAGGTTTTCCCTGGCCAATTCTTTGAGAAGTGGTTGGCCTCCTCCTTCTTCCTAGTCTGTCTCAGTCTGCAAGCCGGGCTGATACCTGTGCAACAGGTGCACCCCACTGGGTTAGAAACACCAGTGGCACAGACTCAGGACTCACAGCAACATGTCACCACAGTAGGACAAACCGACAAACAAGTTTGTCTCCCTTAGCCAATGATACCCCTCCAACCACCCTTACCTGGATCTCTGCGGCTAACTCCTCAATCTGTTCCAATCCCCGTTGCCTTTTCTGTCCTCTCCCTGCTTCCTGCCTCACTGCTTGTGGGGGGTGACCTGGGTTCCCTCTCCTCACCTGGCTCCCTGTGGTTGACTCCTCGATCTGTTCCTATCCCCTTTGCCTTTTCTGTCCTCTCCCTGCCTTCCCACCTTGCTCCTTGTGGGGCATGGTCTGGGATCCCTCTCTTCACCTAGGTCCCTGTGGCTGACTCCTCTATCTGTTCCGGTCCCCTTTGCCTTTTTTTGTCCTCTCCCTGCTTCCCACCTTGCTGCCTGTTCTTAGGTCCCTGGAATCCAGATGAGAATGCTATCACTTTAAAATCCAAAATGGTTGCCACTTGTAAACAGTAAAAATGGCTGCGCCCTCGGTCACTTTAAATATCCAAAATGGCCACCACTTGTAAACATTCCATGTATATAGTAGAGCTTATAATCAAAAAACCAAACTCACTGCCATCAAGTTGGATCTGACTCATAGAGGTCCTCCTTGGGTTTTGGAGGCAGTATCACTACAGAAATGAGAAGTGGCTGGTGGGTTTGAACCACTGGCCTTCTGGTTAGCAGTTGAATGCCTTAGGCACTACATCGCTAGAGCTCCTAGTAGAGCAGATGGGGAGCATATAGGTTTGAAACTTCTAAACCATAACCAAACATCTTGAAGTCACTGGGCTGGGAGACTTAGGGCCATAATCTTAGGTTAAGTAGCATAAGAGTCCACAAAGACATTGTTATACATCCTACTTTGGTGAGTAGTGACTGGGGTCTTTAAAGCTTTCAAGTGACCATCTAAGATACAACTATTGTTCTCTCCCCACTCAGACAAAAGAAGAGTGAAGAAAATTAAAGACTCAAGGAAAAAATTAATCCAAGGGACTAATGAACACATGAATCACAATCTTCACTAGTCTAAGACCAGAAGAACCAGCTGGTGCCTGGCTACCACTCCTGACTGCTTTGATCAGGATCACAATAGAAGGTCTTGGATAAAGTAGGAGAAAAATTTAAAACAAAATTCAAATTCATAAATAGAGTAGATTCACTGGTCTGATAGGAACCGGTGGAACCCCTGATACTATGGCCCTTAGACACCGTTCAAACCTAGAACTGAACACACTCCCAGAGATCACCTTTCAGCCAAACAATAGATAGGTCTATAAAGTGAACAGTAATATCTGTGAGGAAAGTACTTCTCAGAACCATCAACCATAGGAGACCTACAGGGCAGTATTTGACCAAAAACAAATTTCAGAAGGCAAGAAGGGGCAGGAAAGATGGGTGAATATAAACAGGGGATGCAGAGAGGAAGTGGGAGAAATACTGTTACATTGGATAGATTGCAGCTAATGTACCTGTAAACTCTCACCTAAATTACAATAAAATGTTTTTTTTTAAAAAAAAAGTGTGTGTGTGTGTGAGTGTTTTGTATGTGTGTCTAGAAACACATTCTTTCCTCTGTGTACATACAGAGAGAAGGCAGAAGGCAGGAATCCATCAATTATTACTGCATGTTGTTCTGCTTCCCATTCAGAATAGCTGCAGCTCCTCCTTCAGCCTCCCCACCTCCACCTGCCAAAAAAAGAAAAGAAACTCACTGCCATTAAGGCAATTCTGACTCAAAGCAATCCCCATTGGGTTTCCAAGGCAGTAAATTTTTATGGAAGTAGATTGCCCAGTCTTCCTTCTGAGGAGTGGCTGGTGGGTTTGCACCACCAGCCTCCTGGTTAGCAGCCAAATGCCTTAGGCACTATGCTACCAGAGCAGATAGAATTCTCTACACATGAATCTGGCCACAAAGCAGTAACAAGGTGTCGGTAACCCCAGTGAAGGAAATGGAGCTCAAGGACTCTGGAAGTTCTAATATGATGCATTAGGTGGCATCAGGATGGTCCCTTATAACCTTTTCCTACCTTGTTCTGACCTAAGCCTTCTTCCATACTGGAAATCATAGTTGCCTCTGAATCACCCCAACCTGAACATCAAGGAATGTTGGAAAGCTTTGGAACTTAAGCAGAAATGTTGAGAATGTGCTAAAAACACAGCTGCAGGATCAAAGCTGTTGGTTTGACCCTAATTTTTCACACATTCTAACGACGTTCTTGATGTGGAAGTTTCTTTGGTTCTTCTTGTGTGAGGGTGAACAGAGGCATACATTCTCCTTTACAAACCAAAGACTAATAGCAGTAGGGAAAAGGTATGATTTGGCCTCTTGAGAAGAGGTTGAATCACTAGTTCAATCCCAGTTGGAGGTGGGGGGTCTCATCTGCATTTCCTTTGACAGAAACCACAATATTGTGTGCCTTGGTGTGGGTGTACTCAAAGGTATCTACCTGAATTTGCATACTTCCTGACTGACAGAACTCTCCTACAAGAACCTCAGGGCCTGGGCGGTGAGTGTCACTGGGAGGAGTAACCAAGTTTCACTTCCTTGCCTGCTGGAGACTCACAGCTACAGCAGGCTTCTTTGTCACTGAAGAGCAAGAGAGTGTGAGGAGCACTGGAGTCCATCTCTCTCTGCGTCTGTGATAGTGAGGAGAGTGAGGAGCGCGAATGGGCAGAGCAGAAACACTAGAAGGGAAGATGAGTGACCAGGATCCCTCAGACCTGTGGAGCAGATTGGATGGCGAAGCAGATCTGCTCCAGGACTTGGGGTAAGAGAGCAGGTCTGCTTTTCAAAGGGTGAACGAACATTAAACCCCAATTCCTACTCAAATGCTTAGTTCAATTAACGATTATCTTCAGCACTCCATTTTTCTCTGCCACCTCTGATCTTCTGTTTTCCCACTTTATTGCTTTATGTCTGTTAAATATCTTCCTGTCTGGTACTAATTGCATTATAAAAGCATTATTTTTCCAGAGGTGAAAACAGGTAGATTGAGAAAATGCAACAAAATTAATTGTTAGGCATTGTTTGAGAATAGGGACAGAATGGAGATGTGGGAGTTGATATTGCTTTAGTTTACTTACTATTGTTTTAGTTAATAAATAAATATGTTGTTAAAGGCTTTAATTGCCAAGCTATTGAGTATAAGAGGAGTATGTTTTGGGTAAGATAAACAGAAAACCTACCCTACATTAAACCAGAGGGACTTTTTCAAAAGAGAAAGAATGAGGAAGTGTCTGTAACAGTCTCACATATGTGTTCTTTCTTCTGATACTGTATTTGTGAGCTCTTGTGTATATCCATGTCTGTAGGGCAACTTGGAAACCCAAGGAGGGGTCGCTAGGAGTTGGGCCGACTCGATGGCAAATAACAACAACAGGGCAACTTTGAACTTTTCATATATTAACAATTCAGGAAAATGGTAAGTTAGTTCAAATCAGAAAAAAAAAAAAAATCTGCCTCAAACAGACTGTGTAAATTTAGTAGGTAGAGTTATCTGCGTCCTGTCTTTAAAAGGCACCCAGATGAAACGATTTATCAGTATATTTAATAAAAGAAGTATTACACAAGAAAGGAGTGGGGGATTTCCTAGAGAAACTAGGCCAACCTAAAACACAAGCAATGTACTGACCAAGCTGGTTTTGACACGTGTGATTCAGGAAAGGTGAAACCTGACCATTTTGTCTTGATTCATAGATCTAAATCTTCTAAACAACCCAGTGACACAGGAATTCTTATCATTTTCATGTTACAAACATAGAAAATGAGCACCACAGGGCTGAATAACTTGCCATGCATCACTTAAATGGCACAGCTGGATGACAACCTGCCAAAGACTGTTTTCTTAACTGCGGGAAAGATGAAATAGGAATGAAATCTCGCTGCATTAAGACAAAAATTTCATGTTTTTGTGTTGTGTTACCTTAAAAGTTCATAATAATACCTGTCTTTAGATTTAAAAGTTGAGGTCTTATAGTTGAACTGTTCTTTCATATGCTAAATCAGGTATAACAATATAACAGAATTTTCAATGAAGTTAAAAAAAATTTGTAAGTTGATTTTGACTCATAGTGACCTGATATATTCAGAGTAAGACTGGGTTCCACAGGGTTTTCAAGGCTGTGAGCTTCTGGAAGCAGATTGCCAGACCTTTCTTTTGAGTGAACTCCAATCTCTGAACTCCAACCTTTCAGTTAGCAGCTGAGTCTGTTAACTGTTTACACCATTCAGGAGGTGCTTCGGTAAAGTAACTTCGCCTTACTGGGAAATCAGGGTTCCTAAAGCTCCCTGGTAGCATAGTGGCTAAGACACTTGCCTGCTAACCAGACGGTTGGAGGTTCAAACCCACCAGCCACTCCTAGGAAGGAAGGTTGGGCAATTCTACTTCCTACTTCCGTAGTGATACTGCCTCGGAAACCCAAGGAGGGGTGGCTATGAGTCGGGTTTGACTTGACAGCACATAACAACAACAAACAACAAAGCTCCCTGAGGAGCTCTGGTAGCCTAGTGCCTAAGGCGCTTGACTACTAACCAGAAGGCTGGCGGTTCAAACCCACCAGCCACTCCTCTGGAGGAAGATGGGGCAATCTGCTTCCGTGGTGATACTGCCTCGGCAACTCAAGGAGGGGCCACTATGAGTCGGGTCCAACTCCACGGCACATAACAAAAACAACAAAGCTCCCTAAAACCAAACTCACTGCCATGAAATTAAGAACTCCCTACCCTTCTAGATTGAATTTCCCAAACAGTAAAAGAGCCCTGAGCATCCAAAAAAGGTGTCACAAAGCCTAGGCACTAAAGCCAGATTCTTGGATTCTCACTCAGAGACTAACTGAATCATTAACCTGTATTTTTTTATATGCTTAGTAATCTGTATTCCCAGGGTCCTATAGTGAAAAGAGTCCCTGGGTGGTGAAACTCTTACTATAAATGAAACTCTTTTTCTTTGAAGCATTATCCTACTTGTGACACATAATCTATACTAAAATATCTGATTAATTCAAGTTTTAAAAAGAAGCTCAGTAAAAACAAAACACTTTAATGCAGTTAGTTAATAAAAAGTGACTGGTTTTAATAATTTCCTTTAAAAAAAATTAACAGGTTAGTTAGGTAAATTCTTAAGTGTATATTCCTGATGGATATAAACAGGTAATTTAGTTGTTAGGTTAGATACCAAAAACCTACTTTTTGTTCTTTGATCCCTAATTTCTTTTTTTGGAATATATATGTTCTTCGAGTTGACTCAATGGCAGTGAGAGAGAGAGGTATGTTCCTCAAACTGAACTCTGAATTGCAACAAACACATCACTTGCCTTTCTAGGGCACACACAACTTGCTCAGAGCACAGGTTTATTATTTTCAAAAGCATCTAAATCAAGCAACTCATACACATTTCCATGTCTCATTCATAGAGTGTCAGTCCCAAAACGTGTTTTCTTCCATCCTAAATGTATTAATGTTCTTATGAAATCAGTGTCTAAAAGCAAAGCGAAATAAAATCATCTTGAATTGTTGCTCAGCTTCAGCTATGCTTTGGTGGTGTGGGATTTGGGAGAGGAGGTGGGAGTGAGGCAAGGGTAAGGGGCAAAGGGGGTATAGAGAATGATAGTTGAGAAGCAAGACTTGGAGAAAGAGTGGTCAAGTCATTGCTTTCAAAATGAAGAGATCAGGAAATAAAACAAGGAATAACACTAGAGCCATCACCTAAGTAACAAACTAGCATAGCATTGCTAGCCAATTAATAATTTAAAATTCCAACATTTCTTCACCTGAAACACATATTCCTACAAGTTAAACTATATAATTGAAGACATAAAAATATTTTAGAATTCTTTTAAAGTAAATCTTCAAACTACTCAGTCAGACATATTCTTTCAAGTGAGAAATATAACAAATATCCCATCTATTATACTGTATATACTTTCTGAAATCTCAAAATTTATTTTGAAAAAAAAAAAATATATATATATATACATATTTGGCTGTGTTGTCTGGAGTCAAGAAACCAAATGCTAACATCTAGATATTACAGTAAATCAAAAGTATTTAATTCTCTGCTTCTTAATCTTCACAAATGAGAAACGGTTAGAATAGGTCAGAGGTTAGCAAACTTGTTTCCTAAAGGGTCAAATAATAGTTTAGGATTCGCATGCAATCTCTATTGCAACCACTCACATCTGCCAGTTTCTTGTGAAAGATGTCATAGACAGCAAAGAAACAAATGAGTGTGACTGTGTTTTTTTAAAATAAATGAATAAAGCACAACTTTATCTATGGACACTGAAATTTGAATTTCATATAATTTTCATGATGATTTTCTTCTCATTTTTCCTTCTACTTAAGAATGTTAAACTATTAGCTTACAGGTCCACACACAAACAGATGGCAGGCAGAAATTAGCCCTCAGGTAGTGGTTTGCTGATCCCTGGGGTACATGACAATTACCAAAAAAAAAAAAAAAACCTCACTGCCTTGAGTCAGTCTCGACTCATAGCAACCCCTCCTTGGGTATCGGAGGCGGTTATCTGTATGGAAGTAGATTGCCTAGTCTTCCTTCTGAGGAGTGGCTGGTGGATTTGAACCGCCTTCTGGTTAGCAGTGAAATGCCTTAGGCACTCCGCCACCAGAGCTCCTAATTACCAAAATAAGCCCCTACTATGGGGTCAATATTTTGCGTATATAGTTGTTATTTGCCATCGAGTCGGCCCGACTCCTAGCGACCCCTCCTTGGGTTTCCGAGGCAGTTATCACTATGGAAGTAAGATTGCCCAACCTTCCTTCCGAGGAGTGGCTGGTGGGTTTGAACTGCCAGCCTCCTGGTTAGCAGTCAAGTGCCTTAGGCACTATGCTACCAGAGCTCCTGCGTATATAGTAGAAACCGTATAAGACAGAAACCTGTCAGAGAAGCAAAACTCAGATATTTTCCACTAAACAGAGCAATAGAAAAGCAGTAAGACTGCCCCATGCCAAAGGTGGGAAACTTAGGAGACCTAAAAATACAAGGCAATCCTGTCAAGTTCTGGCTCTCACAGGTTTCAATATATTAGCTTTCATCTTCAACAGGTATTAGTTTTCCACCTTTAAAGAGGAGGAGAGTCTCTAAGAGCAGACAGGTCAGGTCACCTGAAACCCCAGAGTATTTGGGTCCAAAGCCCATGCTCATTGCACCAGATCTGTTTGCCTCCATATTGTAACAGTTACTATTGATCACCTACTATGCACCCACACCATGCTGCACACATACATTTTGTCACTTAGCTTCACAATAACAGTTAAAATCCAATATTATTATGCTTTTAATAGCTGCAGAGGTGACTTAAGTACATTAAGTGAGCTGTCTGGGTCTCAGACCTGGTAGTGTTGGAGCTGAGAGGCACACCACTTAGGTCTGACTTACCCAAAAGCTAATGCTCTCTCCATTGTGTGATGCTGCTTCACCAAGTTACCAACCAAACATGACAAGCTCTAATAATGGCAATTAGTAATGTTGGATGCTTATCATGCACCAGGCACTATTTTAATCCTTCTGCATGTATGAACTGATTTTATTTACACAGCATTGCAGTAAAATAGATGCTATTACTAAGGTCATCCACATTTACAGATAAGAAAATTGAAGGGTGGAGCTTTTATCTCACAAACCCACCAGCGACTCCTCGGAAAGAAGGTTGGGCAATCCTACTTCCGTAGTGATACTGCCTCGGAAACCCAAGGAGGGGTCGCTATGAGTCGGGGCCGACTCGACGGCAAATAACAACAACAACAACA